ATAACATTTGAATCCTTGTCTGTGTGTGTTTGCTTTACCAGTGGGTTTGATACTTTCGTCATCTGTTTTTCATAATGGTAGTAATTGTCCTTTTTTGTTTGTTTGTTTGTTTCTTTTTTGAGACAGGGTTTTGCTCTCGTTCTGTCCTCCAGGCTGGAGTGCAGTGGTGTGATCATGGTTCATTGCAGCCTTGACCTCCATGGTCTCACGTGATCCTCCTGCCTCAGCCTCTCAGGTAGCTGGGACTACAGAAGCCTGCCACCATGCCTGGCTAATTCTTTTGTTTTTTTTTTTTTTGTAGAGATGTGGTTTTACCATGGTGTCCAGGCTAGTCTTGAACTCCTGGGCTCAAGCAGTCTGCCTGGCTCAGCCTTCCAAAGTGCTAGGATTATAGGCCGGAGCCACTGTGCCTGGCCCTGACATTGTTCTTTGGCTTCCAAATGTAGAACTCCCTCAAGCATTTCTTGTAGGTCTGATCTAGTAGTGTTGAATTCCCTCAGCTTTTGCTTGCTTCAGAAAAACTTTCTCCTTTGCTTAATGAAGGATAATTTTGCTGGGTATAGTATCCTTGACTTGCAGGTTTTTTTTCTTTCAGCACTTTTTTTTTTTTGATTTCTTTATTTTATTATACTTTAAGTTCTAGGGTACATGTGCACAACATGCAGGTTTGTTACATATGTATACATGTGCCATGTTGGTGTGCTGCACCCATTAACTCGTCATTTACATTAGGTATATCTCCTAATTCTATCCCTCCCCGCTACCCCCTCCCCACAATAGGACCTGGTGTGTGATGTTCCCCTTCCTGTGTCCAGGTGATTTCATTGTTCAATTCCCACCTAGGAGTGAGAACATGTGGTGTTTGGTTTTTTGTCCTTGCGATAGTTTGCTGAGAATGATGGTTTCCAGCTGCATCCATGTCCCTACAAAGGACATGAACTCATCCTGTTTTATGACTGCATACTATTCCATGGTGTATATGTGCCACATTTTCTTAATCCAGTCTGTCACTGATGGACATTTGGGTTGATTCCAAATCTTTGCTATTGTGAATAGTGCCACAATAAACATATGTGTGCATGTGTCTTTATAGCAGCATGACTTATAATCCTTTGGGTATATATCCAGTAATGGAATGGCTGGGTCAAATGGTATTTCTAGTTCTAGATCCTTGAGGAATCACCACACTGTCTTCCACAATGGTTGAACTAGTTTACAGTCCCACCAATAGTGTAAAAGTGTTCCTGTTTCTCCACATCCTCTCCAGCACCTGTTGTTTCCTGACTTTTTAATGATTGCCATTCTAACTGGTGTGAGATGGTATCTCATTGTGGTTTTGATTTGCATTTCTCTGATGGCCAGTGATAATGAGCATTTTTTCATGTGTCTGTTGGCTGCATAAATGTCTTGAGAAGTGTCTGTTCATATCCTTTGCCCACTTTTTGATGGGGTTTTTTTTTTTTTTTCTTGTAAATTTGTTTGAGTTCTTTGTAGGTTCTGGATATTAGCCCTTTGTTAGATGAGTATATCGCAAAAATGTTCTCCCATTCTGTAGGTTGCCTGTTCACTCTGATGGTAGTTTCTTTTGCTGTGCAGAAGCTCTTTAGTTTAATTAGATTCCATTTGTCAGTTTTGGCTTTTGTTGCCGTTGCTTTTGGTGTTTTTAGACATGAAGTCCTTGTCCATGCCTATGTCCTGAATGATATTGCCTAGTTTTTCTTCTAGGGTTTTTATGGTTTTAGGTCTAACATTTAAGTCTCTAATCCTTCTTGAATTAATTTTCGTATAAGGAGTAAGGAAAGGATCCAGTTTCAGCTTTCTGCTTATGGCTAGCCAATTTTCCCTGTACCATTTATTAAATAGGGAATCCTTTCCCCATTTCTTGTTTTTATCAGGTTTGTTGTTCCATTCTCTCCTGGCCTGTAATGATTCTGCTGAGAAATCTGCTGTTAGTCTGATGGAGCTTGCCTTAGAAATGACTAGACACTTTTTTCTTGCTGTTTTTAGAATTCTCTCTTTGTCTTAGACTGTTGACAGTTTGACTCTAATGTGTTGTGGAGAACCTGTTGGAATTTTCTTTTTGGGGCTCTCTGACCTTCTGTATCTGGATGTCTAAATCTCTTGCTATACTTGGGTAGTTTTCAGCTATTATTTCATTTACCAGGTTTTCTATTCCTTTTGTATTTTCATTGTCTTCCAGAATACTGAAAATTCTAATATTAGGTTGCTTTATGGTATCCCATACGTCATGCAGGCTTTGTTCATTCTTTTTTTTTTAGTTTTGTCTGTGTTATTTCAGGAGACCTGTCTTCAAGTTCAGAAATTTTCTTCTGCTCAATTTAGTCTATTATAGATGCTCTAGAATGTATTTTTTATTTCATTAAATGAATTCTTCAGTTTCAGGGTTTCTTGTTTTCTTTTTAAATGATATCTCTCTCTGGTAAATTTCTCATTCATATCCTGAGTTTTTTTTTCTGGTTTCTTCGTATTGTTTATCTGTATGCTTTTGTATCTCCCTGAGCTGCTTTAATATCATTTTTTAAATTCTTTTTCTGGCATCTCATGAATTTCTTTTGGATTGGAATCTTTTGGTAGAAAATTATTGTGATCCTTTGGAGATGTCATATTTCCTCTTGTTTCCATGTTTCTTGTGACCTTACACATCTGGTGTAATAGTCACTTCCATTTTTTTGTATTTGCTTTCATAGGGTAGGACTTTTTCCTGAAGATTTGTTTGGGGTGTTGGTTGGCCAGGGCACTTTGGGTTTGAATCTGAGTGCATGCAGTAATGTAGTCTCTGTAAGATTTTTTTTCCTCTGTAAACAGCATCAGTGGTGTCTGTGATTTCCTCAGTGGCATAGTGTGTGGTTGTGAAGGCTGTGGTGAACTTTTGCTGGGGATGGTGACACCAGCTGGACCGATCCTCAGTCCTCAGTGGTGGCAGCAGTTGGACAGCCATGTACATTAGCCCCAGGGTGGCTTACATTAGTAATGGTATTAGTGGGTCCAGGCAGTCCAATTTTTGGGTCTCCAGGTAACTTGTTTGGGTACCAGCAGTGGCAGTGATGGGCTGGGCAGCTGAGTGGGTCCACAGGCCCCTGGGCAGTGAGCATGGCATAGGCCATGTCAGTAGCAATGGTAGGACAACCTCTGGCTCTCCAATTGTCTGTGCTTATGTTGGCGGTGACAGCAATAGGCTGGGTAGGCAAGTCCCAAAACCTGCAGGTGGCAAGTGTGAGTGGGAACCAGCTGTAGTGGTAGTGGCAGGTTGGGTGAGTCACATCCTCAGACCCCCAGGTGGAATGCTCAGTTGACACTGGATGTGGACAAACTGGTGCGATCCCAAGGCCCCCAGATAACATGCTTGGGTACTTGGCAGTGGGGTGCTGAACTGAGCAGGATGAGAGTATCCTCAGGTCCTCCAGTAGTGGGAGCAGGTGCTGTTTATGGTGGGCAGGAGCAGGATGATTTCCAATTTCCTGGTGGAATGTACAGGTGGGGGCGGCAGTGGCTGTGCTGTGCTCTGATGCTGGGGAGGGGTGGGGTTGCTCTCAGTGGGAGCAGTTGTAGGGAGCTGGCTGGGGAGTGTGCACTGCAGCTGCAGGTGGAGTCTGCAGATGTGATGAAGCTATACTCAGGGTGCATGTATTTTGACACTAGCGGCAGCAGCCTGCAATGGTGGCAGCTGTAGGTGGTAGAGCTTGTCCTCAGGGCACATACAAATGTATGGCAGCCCTTCTGCTGGGAGCAGTGGGGTTACTGCCAATGGCTTGTGCTTTGGTCCCATAGGCAGCAGCCAGCAGTGAAGGTAACTGTGGGTGGAGGATGTCAGTGGGGCTCTAGGGGTGTGGATATGTGGGGGCTATTGAACTCCAGGGTAGGATGCATTCTGGTGGGGGTTGGGCTTTAAAAATGTCACTGTGCTGTAGCTGCTTAGGAATCGGGGGTATGTTGGATCAGCGTAAGCTCCCTCTCTAAGGCATTGTCATTGTGCAGTCTCCAGGCAGCTCCTATGTTACTCCCAGGGCCCATGAAAGTTGAAGGACTCTCTTGTGTCTGGGATTGCAGGAATTTGTGGTGAAAATGTGTGCCACTGGGAGTCTCTCACTTACTCTTTCCCCACACTGTGCAGGCTCTCTAGGCTTCCGGCTGATCCTGGCCGAGCAGGCTGCCCCACTTCCCTCTCCTTCCTTGCTTTAGGTGTTTTCTATCACTTCTCTGTTGAATTTCAGTGTTCTCTCTTAGACGACCTATTCGAAGTGTGATTATCTGCTCGCTACTTCGGTTCTTCTTTGTGGAGGAGGCTAGTACCAGATACTTCTAGTCAGCCTTCTGGACCCCTCTTCCCTCAATTTGAGATCTCTTCTTCTGTTGTCTGTAACTAAGTTTAATGCTTGTTTGTTCATGTTAGGAATTTATATCATCTTCCTCAATTAGGTTGTTAACTGGAATTTTATAATCTTTGTCCACAGGAAGTTTAAAATGTGTGATTTCTTGCATTGTGCTTTGTATGTAGTAGTACACGCTATTTATCCAGCTAATGGATTTGACAGCCATTGCTGTCAAGGAGCAGTCCTTCTTTGTATATGAAGGATGCCTTATCAATATTATTTACATTTGTAACTTTATTTATTTATTTATTCATTCATTCATTCATTCATTCATTCATTCATTTTTGAGACAGAGTCTCGCTGTGTCACCCAGACTGGAGTGTGATGGAGTGTGGAGGCTCACTGCAGCCTCAACTCCCAGGCTCAAGTGATTCTTCTGCTCCGCTCGGAGAGTAGCTAGGACTACAAGTGCATGCTGCCACGCCCAGCTAATTTTTTTTTTTTTTTTTGTATTTTTTTTGTAGAGATGAGGTTTCACCATGTTGCTGAGGCTTGTCTCCAACATACGGGCTTAAGCTATCTGCCCACCTCCGCCCCGCAAAGTGCTAGGATTACAGGTGTAAGACACTGCACCCAGCCCATTTGTAACTTTATTGTTTTCTCTTACAGGCAAATATTCTGAAAAAGACTCTGCATGGGAATGGCCTGCCTTACTATGACAGAAATGGAGGGAACATCCACATCTTCTATATATCAGAATGGTGATATTTCTGGAAATGCCAATTCTATGAAGCAAATAGATCCAGTCCTTCAGGTGTATCTTTACCATTCCCTTGGGAAATCTGAGGCAGATTATCTGACCTTTCCATCTGGGGAGTATGTTGCAGAAGAAATCTGTATTGCTGCTTCTAAAGCTTGTGGTAAGTATTAAAAAACAGCCTTTTCCTTTTTAATCCATGTATTATTGTTTTAATTATGCTATGCTAATACTAGGTACATGCATAATATATATATATTTTTTAATGCTTGTATGTCTGGCATGTGTGTTTTCACATGCATAGACAATGAAAGTGTTACTGGAGTACAACTTATGGTGAATCTGCTTTGGGCTAGGTGTCAAAACAAACTTGATGGCCATAAATGTTTGCTGAGTATTCTTTATAATTACATATATAATTACATCCTGTCATGGGCTATCTCATGACATAAGTTAATATTAAAGCTAGATCCTGAGAGCAACATGAAAGCAAATAATTAATGTTTTGAAATATGTATTTGATTTAAAATCTTGATTAAATGGTTGACAAACCATCATTTTCTTCTAGTTAGCTTCTGAAGACCTTTGCCAGTCTTTCCTCATATATATATATATTTCTCACATCTTTGGTGTATCTTGAAATCATTTTTACTCTTGAGACCTGATTGTATTATCTGTGGACCAAAACTATGAACCAGAGAACTCTTTCTGTAGAGCTAACACATTTTACTAGACCACTGAGGTTACTATAGAGCCTATTATCATGGTATCTCATTTTTAAATGTTCTTTTAATAGAAAGACTAGTTGACGCATAAGCTTTGTTTTGAAGAATTGTAATATGATTTTATTTGTAGAGGTAAATTAAATGTCTAATATAGTATTTATAAGAATGTATGATGACATCAATTTATTCTGTTTAATTTAAGATCAGTATAGGTCAGAATAGTCATTAACTGTAAGTTGGAGGAAGCTAGGTACATTTCAAGTTCTTTGTAGCTATTTTGAAAAATACAATACATTGTTGTTAACTATAGTCACCCTACTCTTCTGTCAAACATTTGAACTTGTTCCTTCTGTCTGTATTTTTGTGCCCATTAACCAACGTCTCTTCATTTCCCCCTTCCCACCTATATAACCTTGCCAGTCCCTGCTACCAATCCACTCTACCTTCATGTGATCAACTTTTTAAGCTCCCACACATGAATGAGAACTTGTGATATTTGTCTTTCAGTTCCTGGGTTATTTCACTTGACATAATGACCTTCAGTTCCATCCATGTTGCTGTGAATGACATGATTACATTCTTTTTTATGGTGCCATTGGGCCCCAGGGGAGTACGCATTCTGTTGTGAGCTGGGCTTCCAAAATATCACCTTGCTGTAGCTGCTTAGGACTCAGGGGGGAGTGTGGGACCCAGAGTGAACTTCCTCACTGGAATAGGAAATGCTTTTGTGCTGTCTCTGGGCAGCCCTCTATGTTAATTTTTTGTCCTGCAAGGGTCTAGGGTCTTTCCTGTGACTAAAATTGCAGGGGTTCACAGTAGGAATGTGGACCATTGGGCATCTCTCACCCTTTCCGTATGTGGAGTCTCTTCCAGCTTCTTGCCACTCCCGGCAGAGCAGGCTGTCTTGTTCTGTCTCCTTCCTTGCTTTTCTATTGAATACCAGTGTTCCTCTTGGATAATCTACTCAAAGTGTGATTATATACTCATGGTTTTAGTTTTTAGTGGGGGAAGTGGATATGAGAGACCTCTAGTTAGTGATCTTGACTATATTGTAAAGTCTGTATTTTTTGTTGTGTGTAGTCTCTGAAATCTCTGATCCTTTAGCTTGTAGTAAGATTTTAGCTTGTAAGATTTTTTTAGCTTGTAAGATTTTTCAGCTTGTAAGATTTTTTTTAGCTAGTCAGATTTTAGCTTGTGAGATTTTAGTTTGTAAGATTTTTAGCTTGTAAGACTGATTTTTAGCTTGTAAGATTTTTTTTTTGACAGATTTTATTGAATTCCTAGAGCCAAAAGAAAATAATAGAAAAGAACAACTCTTTCAGTCTTTGCAGATTGGCTCTATGTTGGGGCACTCATTCAGTGTTTACCTAGTCCATTTACAACTCTGCCTTAGCCTTCCCTTCCTGCTTGTGCTGACTCTAAAGAACAGCTTGAGGTGAAAGCTTAGGGTCTTTTCTTCTAAGTGCCATTCCTTGGGCATGCATGTGGCTTTTCTACTCTCCAATACATAGTGATGCTTTTCAGTGCCGTCATTTCCCAAAGAAACTCTCCTCTCTTGTGTCTTTTTTGGTTTTCAGTGTGTTTATTGTTTGCCTCAACTTTAGGCCTCTGTCCCAGGTTGTTCATTTGCAATGTTTTCAATGAATGTCTTCTGTGTAGCTGCTTTTCTGCCCCGAGAAAGTCCTGAATTAAGTGGAACATAGGTGTGCTCTTTGCATCATTTCTTCAGTCAGTCCCCAGTCAGGTCAAAAGAGAGAAAAACAGTTTTTTGAGATTAAGGTCAGCTCTGTTCACTCCAGAGCCAGGGACCAGAGTTTCACACTGGGAACACCAATTGCCATCTTCAAGACTTTGCTTAACTAGGGTTAACTAGGGGGAGTGAAGCAGGGATTGCTAGGCAGGATGTGGGGGTAGTGGGTGGTTAAGGGAAAGTAAAAATGCTGCACAACTTTCCTGCCATTTTTAGTTGCTGTTTTCTTGATTCAGCATTTATCTGATTGCTGCATATCTTTGCCTATTTTCTATAGTTTATATGAAGTTCATTCTGACGGTTTTTACTCATTTTTTCCCCCCTATTGCTGTGGAGAAGGATAGGCCCTTGGAACTACCTACTCCACCATTTTCACTGATGTTACTCTTTTACTTCTATAATCATGGAAGTAAAGTTTAAGATTTTTCTATCTATATTGTTGAGATTACCCTTGGTATCGTCGTCAAACTAAATTTACAAAATGTGTCAATTTCTCTGTTCCTTCTTGGTCTATTCTCTGTGATAGTATACTTCAGATGGAATTGTCTTTCATGTTTGATTGAACTCAAATATAAATCTTGTCTGGGCCTGATGGTGGTTTTTCTTTCTTCTTTGTTATGCTTCTTCCTTCCCTTCTTCTGTCTCTTTCCTGCTCCTTCTTTCTTTTCTTCTTTTGTTTAAGTGGATAGAGTCTGTTCCCTTTTTTTAATGGGTATTTTTAAAAATTATTATTATACTTTAAGTTATAGGCTACATGTGCTCAACGTGCAGGTTTGTTACCTATGTATACATGAGCCCTGTTGGTGTGCTGCACCTATTAACTTGTCATTTACATTAGGTATATCTCCTAATGCTATCCCTCCCCCTTCCTCCCACCCCACGACAGGCCCCAGTGTGTGATGTTCCCCTTCCTGTGTCCAAGTGTTCTCATTGTTCAGTTCCCACCTATAAGTGAGAACATGTGGTGTTTGGTTTTTTGTCCTTGCGATAGTTTGCTGAGAATGATGGTTTCCAGCTGCATCCATGTCCCTACAAAGGAAACGAACTCATCCTTTTATGTGGCTGCATAGTATTCCATGGTGTATATGTGCCACATTTTCTTAATCCAGTCTATCATTGACGGACATTTGGGTTGGTTCCAAGTCTTTGCTATTGTGAATAGTGCCACAATAAACATATGTGTGCATGTGTCTTTATAGCAGCATGATTTATAATCCTTTGGGTATATACCCAGTAATGGAATGGCTGGGTCAAATGGTATTTCTAGTTCTAGATCCTTGAGGAATCACCACACTGTCTTCCACAATGGTTGAACTAGCTTACAGTCCCACCAACAGTATAAAAGTGTTCCTATTTCTCCACATTCTCTCCAGCACCTGTTGTTTCCTGACTTTTTAATGATTGCCATTCTAACTGGTGTGAGATGGTATCTCATTGTGGTTTTGATTTGCATTTCTCTGATGGCCAGAGATGATGATCATTTTTTCATGTGTCTGTTGGCTGCACAAATGTCTTCTTTTGAGAAGTGTCTGTTCATATCCTTTGCCCACTTTTTGATGGGGTCGTTTGTTTTTTTCTTGTAAATTTGTTTAAGTTCTTTGTAGATTCTGAATATTAGCCCTTTGTCAGATAAGTAGATTGCAAAAATGTTCTGCCATTCTGTAGGTTGCCTGTTCACTCTGATGGGTAGTTTCTTTTGCTGTGCAGAAGCTCTTTAATTAGATCCCATTTGTCAATTTTGGCTTTTGTTGCCGTTGCTTTTGGTGTTTTAGACATGAAGTCCTTGCCCATGCCTATGTCCTGAATGGTATTACCTAGGTTTTCTTCTAGGGTTTTTATGGTTTTAAGTCTAACATTTAAGTGTGTAATCTGTCTTGAATTAATTTTTGTATAAGGTGTAAGGAAGGGATCCAGTTTCAGCTTTCTACTTATGGCTAGCCAATTTTCCCTGTACCATTTATTAAATAGGGAATCCTTTCCCCATTTCTTGTTTTTGTCAGATTTATCAAAGATCAGATGGTTGTAGATGTGTGGTATTAATTCTGAGGGCTCTGTTCTGTTCCATTGGTCTATATCTCTGTTTGGTACCAGTACCATGCTGTTTTGGTTACTGTAGGCTTTAGCATAATTTGAAGTAAGGTAGCGTGATGCCTCCAGCTTTGTTCTTTGGCTTAGGATTGTCATGGCAATGTGAGATCTTTTTTGGTTCCATATGAACTTTAGTTTTTTCCAGTACTGTGAAGATAAGTCATTGGTTGCTTGATGGGAATGGCACTGAATCTATAAATTACCTTGGGCATTATGGCTATTTTCACGATATTGATTCTTTCTATCCATCAGCATGGAGTGTTCTTCCATTATTTTGTGTCTTCTTTTATTCCGTTGAGCAGTGGTTTGTGGTTCTCCTTGAAGAGGTCCTTCACATCCCTTGTAAGGTGGATTCCTAGGTATTTATTATCTTCAAAACAATTGTGAGTGGGAGTTCACTCATGATTCGGCTGTCTGTTATTGGTATATAAGAATGCTTGTGATTTTTGCACATTGATTTTGTATCCTGAGACTTTGCTGAAGTTGTACCAGCTTAAGGAGATTTTGGGCTGAGATGATGGGGTTTTCTAAATATACAATCATGTTATCTACAAACAGGGACAATTTGACTTCGTCTTTTCCTAATTGAACACCCCTTAT